CGAGGAGCTCACACGGCACAGAGACAGAACAGAACTGGCTCCAATAAAGAAACAGGTTGGTTGAAAGGCTGAAAAAATACTTATTGTGCTCTTACTATCCAAAATGTATAAGTGGGTGTGTTGTGTGAATCAGGATAAACTAGGGATGAAAATATTCCACGGATCCACGATTTACAACTTTTATCTGCTGATAATGTAATTTCTGTGAAATGTGTGACAGCGGGCACTTGCTGTTATTTGCTCTAAGCACATTCAAGCGATGCACTCGAATGTGCACGTCCTGGTGCAGCTGCTGCCGCTTTGTAATGACAGCCGCGGCGCTCAGTGAAAGCACAGCTCTAACATGGTACCGAGCTCGGACCATATGCAGACAGAACCATGTTGCAAGTGCGGGTCTCCCTCGTATCTCCCCCGTTTCTCCCCTGTGTCTCTGACATGTCTCTCCCCTGACTCTTCCCAAAGCGCAACCAGCGCTCCCGAAATTAAAGCTCGGATACGTAAATTTTCCATTGCGTTAACTATGCATGCTGGTTGTGCGCAAAACACACCACAACAGGTCATTTAAGTTTTTATTTTGCATACTTGAGAGCCCTGTGAGTCATTACTTGCCTTTTTGGGTTGAGAGTGGAATAAAAAAAAGAAAATATAGAAAAATCCACACTGTTACTTATTGCCAAACTCTTGTTAACTCATTGTATTGAGAAATACTATGTAACTTTTGACATTGGCCAAGTTATATAAATGATTCTGCAGTTCATGTATATGAATGTCTGTTTTTGATTGTCTATACCTTCTTATATAATTTAGAAAAAATGCCACCTCCACAAATAAGATAAAAGATATCAGGAGCTTTTTTAACAGTTGGAAAGTAAGTAAGAGAAAGCACAAGTAATAGCAAATTATGAATTGTGATGATTAATCTTCTGTTAACATAGATAACTGCTTCTCATTCAGTCTACAGCTGAGTTTAGTATAGAAGGCAACACACTATTGCAAATATAGTGTGTGATTACACAACAAATTCTGGGGGAGAAACTCTGGACTCCGTGTCAATGGGTGTAGACTCAGGTCGTAGTGAATGTCCCCACCAAGATTGGAACCAAACCTACACCATTGCCTGGCTCTAACTCGCACTAACAGACAAACCATTCACTACCAAGTGTATTTAAATAATAAAGTAATGAGTAAACATACACTCAGAGGACTAGCCTAGCCACCTAGCCCAGGAGCTAAACTAGCCTCAATCCCCATGAACTTGCACTAAACACTTAAACTACAATTCTAACCCATTCCCAAACCCATAACACATATTAAACACTATTGACAATCACCCACCTCTCTAACGGACGCACACAATCTTTTTACACACAGCACTGTAATCTGCCATTATCTCTCGAGCACACAGAACATCACTAAAACAGCCCAAAACTTTTCACTGCTCACATGCGGGCGCGCCCCTGGTGGCCAGATCAGGTACTACAACTATATACAAAACGCTCTATTTAAGCCCTGCCTTCATAACAAAATTACTAAGTACAGGTGATAAACGACAAAAGCGTGATGCTACGTCACCGTGCGGGCGGGGGGAGGCGGGCTCACAGGCAGAGGAGCAGACTCTTCTCTGGATCAGCTCGTTTGAGTCGAGGTGACGTCACCTCTATACAAGAGATGGCTCTAATCTCACAAGCTTTGATTGTGGTGTATCATACACATTAATATCACACATGTGCATAGGATTGAGTGTGAAACATGAAGAAAAGCGTGATATAGGACCTTTAAGTATTTTAATGACTGTATGAATTGTGCTATACAACTAACCTTGCCTATACATCTATCTTAAACATCTATATATTAAATTCTACATCAAGTATTGGAATGATTATTTGAAGAAACACATTCTATGAGAGTATGATTCATTCTGAACCTGCATCAGTAAAAACATTCAGCCCAAAATGCAATAATCACTCACATGGCCAGTGGTGGCTCAATATTTTTTCAATAAACCCTCTTGGGAGGACACATCCATCAATCCATTTTCTTCTGCTTTATCTGGTGCCTTTGGAGATGCAGCAGTCTGAGCAGAGAAACCTCTATCCATACACTTTCTTCAGCTCATCTGTGGATTCCTGAAAGCATGTACACGGCCTTGTCTCTCTTGGAATGAAAAAATAGTTATTGAGATAAAACTAAATGGCTTTGTCCCATTGGCAAATCTTGTTATATAACGGTCCGAATGTACTCAAAGTAAGGAAAGAATCACTCAATTCAAGCGATTATTACCTTATACTACATGATTTGAACACACTGCAATCTCTATTCAGAAGGACGTTCATTTTTAAAGACATGGCTTTGTTTTCAAACATGCTATTGTTTTCTCTGCTTCAAAGCAATAGATTCAGTTCTTTTTCCTTTATGTCCTTTTCCGAGCGGTGTGAAATGCAGTCTTTGGCGAGTGTTTGCTTTGTGTCTCGGTCTTCATGTCTGTGTCTCGGATTCTTGGAGCAGTGAGAACTCCTACGCCCGTATGTGATTATGAGCGCAGGGTTACACAAGGAAAAGCATTACACCAGCAGCTTTAATTACTGCTAACTATCGTCACTGTTGAACAAGAAGAGTGGGAGAGAGCGGAGACAGACCAATGAGTATAATTAAAAAGTCTGTTTGAAACCACGTTATTACTTTGATCGAGTTTGTCTAATGACTCCAACTATAGCCTTTTACTTATATAACTTTGCATTATGTGATTAGTAAACATCTGATTTTTACACAGGGGAGAATGTCTGTGATGTGAGCGTGTTGTTTTATGGTCAGCTAGCACAAAGCCTCTTGTGATTCTGCCATGTTGGCCCAGCTGTTGTACATGTATATTCATGTAATCCCATGTCAAAAAATATATTTTGTTTACATAATTGCTATCCTTAACTCAAATTGACCCACCATAGTGATTATAAAATACCCTAAATATTTGTTTTCGAGCTGAATTTTGATGACTTCTCATAACTTGCCTGCACTGGGTCATTTATTTTAGGGTATTACAACAGACTTGGATGAGTCTTCTGCTGCTGGACACCTGCATTTCTCCTTCAGGGATCAAGTCTCTATCTAAAGCAGTCACATTGACCGTGTGGGGACTGGATCCTTGTCTTTGCTTCTAGCTCTTCGCACAAATTACATTTTTGCTTAATTTCTACTATCTATGGTTTTATAGGAAATATCAAACCTGTTCAATGTAGGTCTGAGCGCTGCTGCAGCTGTCAAGACGTGCGTACATTGTAAATTACAGCTGCAGAGGACACCACGCTGAGGGCCAGGACTGAGGGCTGAACTAATCCTTCCGGTGCTCAGAAACCACAAAAGATTTCTTCTGAAACGCCTTCTTGCGGTTTTTTGTGTGTGCAACTCTGCACACACAAAAATATATATCAAACAGCGAGATCGTATCAAGAGGCTCTGTTTGTCTTGTGAGGTCTGACTAAAAGAACAGTCATCTGCCCCTTATGAACCAATACCAATGTGTTTTCTAATTTATTTCTCCGTCCTCCGAGTTAGCTACTGTTGTGATTTAGGGCTACACAAGAATACATTGAATTGAAAGGTTCAATTCTGGGGCGACAGTAGCTCAGTTGGTAGAGCATTGGCCTTTGGGCTGGAAGGTCATGGGTTTGATCCCACCTCGGGACCTACTCTAACTGCTCCCACTAATGTCTGCTGTCGTTGTGTCCTTGGGCAAGACACTTAACCCCACACTGCCTGAAGCTCCAGCTGAAACACCAAGGCTGTGGCATCACTGATGTAGCAGCCATCTTCCTGTAGACTCACCACCTGCAGAGGAACAGAGGGACTGAGCATTGACTGGCCTCCACCCAGAAATGGACTAATAAAGGGGTAGAAAATGAATGAATGAATCGAAAGGTAGTTTAATAAGTAGTTTATTTTTGAGTATTTATCTCTTCGGCCATTATGTACACTAGATCTCTGGTCACATGTTTTCAAAGATTGTATACGTTTTAAAACAATATAAAAGATAATATTGTGTCTATAAGAATGTTAGTGCTAAAGGCCTGGTTGGACGTGGTTCTCGAGACTTTTACTGCTTAACCCCTATTACAATGTGACAATACGTTCAAAGATGACATTATACAGGTAGCATCAAACTTCGACAACCAAAATATTGTTGTACATGATCAACATTTGAGATGACACAATATGCAGTTCCTCATAGACCAACAATGATAACCATGAAGGTGAACCACAATAGTGAGGGACCACTCCATAGCCACTAGAATAGACTCACACACTCACAATCTAAAAGCACAAAGATCGAACAATGGCTGAACACCGTGGGACGTGCGGACCACTGCTGTGTGATTCCACTCATCAAAAACCAGAGCGAGTCGGTGCCATTTTACACAACCGTCAAATCATAAGCGCTCAATTCTGTTCAATTTGTATCATGGAAATGTGTAGCCAAAAATCAAAACGCTTCTAACATTTAATATGGAAATGAATGTAGCTTTTCATCACAGCCATAGTTTTACCATATCAGTGATGGGTGCATAATACGTTCCGACCTGAAAAGAGTTCCTCGGATATAGTTTAAACAAAGCAAAGTGATATATTTCTGTCCGATTTTCCCTTTCGGTCCTGGAGATACGCATCTTTTAAGCTCTCTTAGACCTGGCTGGCACAAAGTCAGCCGTGACATTTTTCATTTTTGTTTGTCTTTTCTTAATTAGCCGTCCTCTGTTGCTCGTCAAAGAACAATGTCGGCCATTCAACACACTGCGCTTATTAGCCCCAGATTTATTTCAGCTCGGTGCCAAATGAGGAGTGAAAATGACAAGTCAATCTAACCTCTGTATTAGGCTGTGCTTGGCTGACTGCTGCTGCTGCTGCTGCTCAGACACCGCAGAGGGCTGTCCTATGTGGGGACTCTGAATTATGCAGCTAATTGAAATGCCATTTATGCTTTGCTTTTGTTTTTTGTTTTTGTTTTTCAGTTCTGGATGTCGGCCCTGGCCACCACCATCCCAGTGCCCTGTGGAGCCTTCATGCCGGTGTTTGTCATTGGTACGTAACTAGTTTGATCAGGGCGTTTCATTGAATGGGCTGCGCTTATGTGACATCACAACCTTCACAAAGAGTCTATAGTTTGAAATTGTGGTGAAGGGCAGTGGAAAAATATGGTCTGGTTCTAGTTTAGAGCAAATTTCTCTGTAATTCTTGGTCCAAACTACATGACACACACTGCCTCACATTTTGTCATCTTTGTTAGAACTTGTCCACTATGGTTTAATTATTTCCTCATGTCTAGAAGTGGTGACAATCTTTTAAAAACATGTCATAGCTTAAATAAATCCTATCCCAGGGAGGGATGGTTTGGAGAGAGAGAGAGAGAGTGACACGGAGATAGAGAGAGACACGGAGTGAGAGAGAGGAAAAGCGCAAGAGAGGAAAAGCGATAGAGAGGAAAAGCGAGAGAGCGGAAAAGCGAGAGAGCGGAAAAGCCTCTGCCACAGGTCTCTTAGCTACATGTTTGTAGCTAGCATAACTAGACCAAGAGAACCGCTAGCAGTAAGATGACTCCTGACTATATCCCCCGAGGTCACACTTGATTGGACAGTTTGGGGCGCCAGATAGAAGACTGATGCCAATTCATCCCAAAAGTTACATAGACGTTATTATTATATGAACATAGCGTTTTATTTGTATGTAACCGTAACACTTGCATAACCAACACAATTCAGTGCAAGATTAGACATAACAGTAATTGTTCAATCTGAGTAATTGTTCAATCAGATTCTCTCATTAAGCGCCTGATTGCAGTTAGCTCAATTAGAAAAGAAATTATTACGTTTCTAACATGCATAGTGTGTTCGATCACTGTTTCATGTAACCTTGCCTGCAAGCTGAATTCTCGCGGTATTTGTGAGTTCACAAACACTCGAGAATACATCGTGTCCCGCTCCCGCCAACCCTTTTCGAGTAGAACATCTAGGTGTTCAAGCCAATCACGCGCCAGTCTGGGGATTTAGGGCGGGATATCCGGGTTTGACGAAAGCAAGAAGTGCCGGGCCGAAGTAAAACAAACATGGCTACGCAGGAGGACGGACGCGTAGCTGAGGCTATCAAGTCAGTTTTAGCAGAATCTCCAATTTCTTTTTTGAAAGATGAACAGCGAGAGGCGCTTTGTGCATTTCTGGACGGCAAAGATGTTACCAGGATTGGTTTAAGTCAAACCTTAGTAGGCGGGCACACAGCGTCACTTCGCCCAATCAGCTTGAAGTATTCTGCTGCTTATCCCTCCTTTCCCTGAAAGGATTCTCCTGCAGAAGTCCCAGATTGATATTGTGGAGAACGCATTAGAGTTCTACACAATCATCAATCTGGCTCTTGCCAGGTTATGTTTGATGTAGTGTTTGAGACATATTTTGCAAAATCAAAAAAGGAAATCCACGCTAATACCAGGAACTTCTGGGACAATCGTGTATGTAGCAACAGCCCTTTTGTCTAAAATGTCCTGTTTGGATACTGTAAAGGTATGTCATTGTACCACTATGACATCACACTCGGTGCAGTTTCCTGCCTTTCAAAAGTATTGTCCATAAATTAGTTGAGGCAATTTCTCAAGTGAAATGACGCTCTTTACAATCGCATGGTTACGTTTGGTCATCGAATTTGGAAGAAAACATAGCATTCTCCTCCCTCTGGTGGTAGCATAGGGAGTTGCAGGTGTACAGTAGGTCCCATTCCGTTTTGTCGTCTTCATTCACGCTTCTCGGGAATCACGCAGCTGCGTGAAAAATAGTACATCTTATCGCCACAAGGTGGCAGGCTAAGTCCGCTTTAGCTCTGCCAGCGACTTAGACGCTCAGGTATAAGACTGCGTGCAAACCTGTCTAACTCCAGAGGTGCTATGTTGGCCGAATGGATAGCATTAAATACAGGGACCTGGAGAACCCAGGTTCGATTCTTGTCTGAGGCACATCTTTTGGTTGCTTGTGGCAAAATTGTTTTTTCATTAAACAATTATTATATAACATCTTGTCTTTAATGTCTGAAAAAATCTAGGTGAAATTCACTAGTGTTATACGTTAAATATTGTGATATGTTTTGATAAACCGAACGTTACGTTACATCCTCCGCTCTGGCCCCGAGAGCAGCTGCTGTGACCCCCGCTCTGACAGCTCAGTGAACGCACTGCCGTCTGGGCTCCGAGCGCGGACCATAGACACGCGGACTCACGTCTCTCTCTCTCTGCTCGCGTCTCTCTCTCTCTGCTCGCGTCTCTCTCTCTGCTCACGTCTCTCTCTCTGCTCGTGTCCCTCTCTCTCTGCTCACGTCTCTCTCTCTGCTCACGTCTCTCTCTCTGCTCGTGTCCCTCTCTCTCTGCTCACGTCTCTCTCTCTGCTCGCGTCTCTCTCTCTGCTCTCTCTCTCTGCTCACGTCTCTCTCTCTGCTCGTGTCCCTCTCTCTCTGCTCACGTCTCTCTCTCTCTGCTCGCATCTCTCTCTCTCTGCTCGCATCTCTCTCTCTCTGCTCGCATCTCTCTCTCTCTGCTCGCATCTCTCTTTCTGCTCACGTCTCTCTCTCTGCTCACGTCTCTCTCTCTTCTCTGCTCGCTCTCTCTCTCTTGCTCCGGTCTCTCTCTCTCTGCTCACGTCTCTCTGCTCCTCTCTGCTCGCGTCTCTCTCTCTCTGCTCGCTCTCTCTCTCTGCTCACGCCTCTCTCTCTCTGCTCACGTCTCTCTCTGCTCGCGTCTCTCTCTCTCTGCTCACGTCTCTCTCTCTCTGCTCACGTCTCTCTCTCTCTGCTCACGTCTCTCTCTGCTCACGTCTCTCTCTCTCTGCTCACGTCTCTCTCTCTCTGCTCACGTCTCTCTCTCTCTGCTCACGTCTCTCTCTCTGCTCGTGTCCCTCTCTCTCGCTCACGTCTCTCTCTCTCTGCTCGTCCCTCTCTCTCTGCTCACGTCTCTCTCTCTCTGCTCTCGCTCTCTCTCTCTCTGCTCGCATCTCTCTCTCTCTGCTCGCTCTCTCTCTCTCTCTCTCTCTCTGCTCACCTCTCTCTCTCTGCTCACGCTCTCTCTCTCTGCTCGCTCTCTCTCTCTCTGCTCGCTCTCTCTCTCTCTGCTCCTCTCTCTCTCTCTGCTCACCCTCTCTCTCTCTCTTGCTCACCTCTCTCTCTCTCTCTCGCTCTCTCTCTCTCTGCTCCTCTCTCTCTCTCTGCTACTCTCTCTCTCTGCTCACGTCTCTCTCTCTCTGCTCACGTCTCTCTCTCTCTGCTCACGTCTCTCTCTCTCTGCTCACCTCTCTCTCTGCTCACCCTCTCTCTCTGCTCACGTCTCTCTCTCTCTGCTCACGTCTCTCTCTGCTCGCTCTCTCTCTCGCTCCGTCTCTCTCTCTCTCTGCTCACGTCTCTCTCTGCTCACGTCTCTCTCTGCTCCGTCTCTCTCTCTCTCTCTCACGTCTCTCTCTGCTCGCGTCTCTCTCTCTCTGCTCACGTCTCTCTCTCTCGCTCTCTCTCTCTGCTCGCGTCTCTCTCTCTCTGCTCACGTCTCTCTTGCTCCTCTCTCTCTCTCTCTCTCTCTCTCTCTCTGCTCACGTCTCTCTCTGCTCACGTCTCTCTCTCTCTCTCTCCGTCTCTCTCTCTGCTCACGTCTCTCTCTGCTCACGTCTCTCTCTCTCACGTCTCTCTCTCTCGCTCACGTCTCTCTCTGCTCTCTCTCTCTCTCTGCTCACGTCTCTCTCTCTCTCCTCTCTCTCCACGTCTCTCTCTCTCTGCTCACATCTCTCTCTGCTCTCGTCTCTCTCTCTCTCGCTCACGTCTCTCTCTGCTCACGTCTCTCTCTCTCGCTCTCCGTCTCTCTCTCTCTGCTCTCTCTCTCTCTGCTCGCGTCTCTCTCCTCTCTGCTCACGTCTCTCTCTGCTCTCTCTCTCTCTGCTCACGTCTCTCTCTCTCTGCTCACGTCTCTCTCTGCTCGCGTCTCTCTCTCTCTGCTCACGTCTCTCTCTGCTCGCGTCTCTCTCTCTCTGCTCACGTCTCTCTCTGCTCTCTCTCTCTGCTCGCTCTCTCTCTCTCTGCTCACGTCTCTCTCTCTGCTCGCGTCTCTCTCTCTCTGCTCACGTCTCTCTCTGCTCTCTCTCTCTGCTGCTCGCGTCTCTCTCTCTCTGCTCACGTCTCTCTCTGCTCTCTCTCTCTCTGCTCACGTCTCTCGTCTATTAATAGCATCTGCCTCTGTCTGTGCGCTTTAACTGCCGGCACTAGGACCCACTACGTGGATTCGCCCCCTCTCAGCTGTCTTTCGCGCCGATATGAATGACAGCTAGCAGAAGTGATAGAAATGTAAACAATGGCAACGCCGAGCTGCTGAAAAGGGCAAAACCTAGGCCATTCAGTCTGCTGGACCAAGAGTTTGGTTTGTTGTTTGTGAAGGACCGTGCTGTGGTGCACTTTATGCTGTGAAAATGTTGTGTGCAGTACTTCACGTTGTTAAGCGTCATATTGAGCCGACGCACGAGAAGACCTTCCCAGACCACTCAGGACAAATAGAGTCAATTAATGTGCTGGGTCCCAGATATGGAAAACAAGCTAGTTCCTCAGGGTTTATACCACTGCTAAAATCACGGGACAGAAGCAGCTCTCCCTCCCCCCCACCACGACATAAACAACGCCCACCCCAGGCCCCTGATGTTTAGTCATTACGTAAAATTGCACACTTCAATACCATGCACATGTATAGCAGCCAACCTATCTTCTTTTCAAAACAGGGGCAATTCGCTGGGTTTGCTAGAGTTAAAATAAGCAGACATTCATCGCCCAACTCCATTTATAATTTGTAAAACACACGGCAAGAAAGAAAGTTTTTTTCCCACCCATCATAAACCTTTGTATTAGCAATATCGTTTTACACGTTTCTACAGGCTAGCCAACTATTCATTTCAACCTTCGGCACCAACACGCCAAAACCGCATGAATTCAAGCATTTGGACAATAATTAAACATGTTCACACTCTGGCATCATGTTTAAAAAATGAATCTGGCGGCATCCGAAAATGTATAACGGAAACACGCAAACATC